GGATCCATCCAGAAGGATTGGCTGTTTCAGGTTTACAGTTGTTCACAGTGTGTATGTGTAAGTGTTCATATGTGTGTGTGTGTGTTTTTAATAATTCTTTTCTCCTAACTCTGGGTTAGCAACTATAAATTGTTTAGGGTATATCCTTACAGATCCTTTATTGTGTGTTTTATCACTTTTTTTAAAGTTTTTTTTTTTTTTAACATCCTGTTATATGAGCAATACATAAAATATAGCTTTTAATGGGTGTGGGTTATATGCTATTTGGTTGTATGAATAATATGAATAGGTTGTGCTGTACACATTGCTCTGGACTTTGCTTTTTTAAGAAATAAGCCTTGGTCATGTTTCCATATAAGTATAGATCTACCGTATTCTTTTGAACGGCTGCATGATATCCTTTTATGGGAATATAGTCTTTGGTTAACCAACTCTTGATAGACCTGGTCTGTTAATTTCCCCTCAAGTAAGATGGGATAATTTGCATATTTTATCTTCTTCTGGTTTTAGTTAAAATAGTCTAGGCTTTTAGATCCAGATTATTATTATTTAATACATTATCTTCCCTATGGATAATTATTTTTAACATTTCTAGATGTAAACCTGTTTTCCTTAACTTTGTCTGATATATTGTGAGTCCTTTCAATCTAAAAGTTCATTCTTTCTTTAACTCAGATAAATTTTTATCTTTTATTTTTTGACATTATTACTCTTCTGCCTTTTCTCTCCGTGTGTGTGTGTGTGTGTGCGTGTGTCCAGAATTTATTCCCTCAAGTTATTATTCAATATCTTCAACTTTCTTTTATCTCTTAATTCTGGGAAAATATGTTAAGGTAGCCTTTGGAATAATCAATTTGGTTTGGCAGTATGTAATATGCTGTTCATTGCCTCCATTACATTGTTTAAGTTAGTCCCTTTTTTCATCAGAAATCAGTCTTTCTGGGTCCCAGAATGTTCTCTTTTCATAGATTCAGTGTCCTCTCAGACCTTGTTGAGGGTCTGCTCTTTAAAAGCATATTCCAGTTCTTTAGAGTACTAGAACTCAGATCAAGTGTCATAGATAGACACTTGCTCTGATTCTTCAGGACTTTTCTCCTTTAAAAATTACTATATATATATATATATATATATATATATATATATATGGTTGATTTTCTTCGTTTGTATTTGTAGGTGATCTTTGAGTTTTGGAATTTGAGGTGTATTTTATCAGACTTGTCTCCTAGTGCAAGAATAAGAGTATTCTTTATATGTTCTATAGTTTTGATTTGTCACTTCCCTATTGTTTCCTCTTACCTACTTCTAGATAGGGAGAGCAGTTGTTTCTGAAGAATTGAAAGAGTGTTCTAACTAGAGGCACTTGTGAAGAAAAGAGAGAATCTTGCTAATGTGTTGAAGGGCTTCTTGTCCACATTTGTTGTAGCTGCTTGAAATTACCCAGAGCACTGCCACTGTACTCTGACCAGCACAAATACTTTCATTTGGAGCCTGATGCTGAGGGGGCTGAAAAACATATCATGTGAAGAACAGTTAGAGGAGGTACAGTTATTTGGTCTAGAGTGGGAAAGATTTATAGGAGACATAATAACTATCCTCAGTAGTTAAAGGCCTGCCACAAGAAGGATTAGACTTGTTCTATGTGGTTCCAAGTGGTAGAATTATGTTAGAAGGGTTTCGCCTTACATTCAAGGAAGGAAAATTGCTATAAGTGACACAGCTGCTGTTTTAAATATTTATTGACTCTAGATTTTAACCATTAATTCAGATATAATGCACACACTTTGATGTTACCACTTGATACCAACATGCATGCATGCATGCATGCATGCATAAGTGGCCAAGTGCCTATGGTGAGGTACTAGAAGAAGGCTATTCAAGCACTGGCTGTGAATTTGCTAACAGAGGCATTATCCTTAGAGAACTGCTGCTTTCCATTCCTAGCCTCTTTTTATTTTTCATAATCACCTGAATGTAATTTCTTGGTACTTAACGTGGTAGTCATTCCTTTTCTTATGCATGGGCTCTTCCCATCCGTTTCTCCTGACATTCCTTTAGTTTCAGACTCCCTCCTCTTCCTCTCTTCTTCTGAGCCCTCCAAATGCTTCCATCCTCTGCCTGCTTCCCAGTTCTAAAGTTGCTTCCATATCTTCAGGTATCTTTATAGCAATGCCCCATTCTTTGATACCAATTTTCTGTGTTAGGCAATTCTTGCATTGCTGCAAAGAAATACCGGAGACTGGGTAATTTATTTTAAAAAGAGGTGTTAATTCAAAATATTTGAGACAGTTGTCAGTCAATTTAGAGAGTTTATTTTGCTTGCATGACACAGCCTCAGGAGGTCGTGATGACATGTACCCAAGGTGGTCAGGGCACAGCTTGATTTTATACATTTTAGGGAGAAATGAGATTTCAGTCAACATTTGTAAGGTGTACACTGGTTCACTCTGGAAAGGTGGGACAACTGGAAGTGGGGAGGGGGCTTCCAGGTCATATGTAGATAAGAGACAAATGGTTGCATTGTTTTGTGTTTCTGATTAGCTTTACCAAAGGAACCAATCAGGTATGCATTTATCTCACTGAGCAGAGGGATGACTGAATAGAATGGAAGACAGATTTGTCTTAAGCAGTTCCCAGCTTGACTTTTCTCTTTAGCTTAGTGATTGTGGGGTCCCAATATTTATTTTTCTTTTGCAGAGGCTTGACTGGGCATGGTGGCTCATGCCTGTAATCCCAGCACTTTGGAAGAATTGCTTGAAGCCAGGAGTTTGAGATCAACTTGGGCAACATATCAAGACTCTGTCTCTACAAAAATTAAAAAGGAAAAAAAAGCAGATGTTTAATTGGTTCACAGATCTGTAGGCTATATAAACATGGTATTGATATCTGCTTGATTTCTCTTCAGGGAGCCTGTACTTGTGGTAGAAGGCGAAGCAGGAGCAGGCTGTTACATGGCAAAAGCAGGAGCAAAGGGGTGGGGTAAAGTGCCACATACTTTTAGACAAGCAGATCTCACAAGAACTCACTGTTGCCAGAACAGCACCAGGCCATGCAGGCTCTATCCCCATGACCCAAACACTATCCCACCAGGCTCCACTTCCCACATTGGGGATTACAATTCAACATGAGATCTAGAGGGGACAACAGCCAAACTATATCAGGCACCAATAGGAAACTAACACAGAACAGATTTCTCAGTAGATCCATGGCCATATTCCAGAAACAGTAGGAACTGTTTCTTGGTATTTCTGTTATTCAAAAATTTAATATATATATGTAAATATAATATATTGCTGAACCATTATATTGGACCATCTTCTGATAATTATTCATCGATGAAAATATACCTCAGTTTCTCCAGTGCTTCTCATTGACCTACTTTTTGATCATCTAGGTACCAGTCATTAAGAGTAACCTATACAAGAGGAGGTCCAATTAAGTGAAACTTACAGGGAGGGTAATGTCACTCAATATAAGGAATAATTTTCTCTTAAAGCCATTCAAAAAGAGATTGGGCTATATTTGGAGGTTTGTATGGCAGGACCTAAACAACTACTTGGTGGAGATGTTAAAGAGAATATTCATGCATTGGTTGAGTTGTTGGATGAGGACAGATTTTATTCTTGAATCCTAAGAACCCAAGGTGTTGTGAGGAAGCAGCGGCACTGAAAATTGGGTGAGACTCTTGTGCAAATTATGCCTACACAAGGTCTCTAGTCAAGGCTGAAGCCGCCAGTAGAATCTAGCTCACACTTTGTTTGCTAAACTGTACACCCTGGCTGTGGGACTGCTGTGCCCTGAGGCAGGAGTAACCTTTGGCTAATTCATATAAATGCATTATCTACTTGATAAGATATATGCTTGAAGGGCTTCATTTACCCAAAGAAGGTACTTCTTTTCTAATTTGCAGAAAGATACTGCATGGGCCAGCACAAACCATGGGACTAGGGCTATAGGAGATGGTTTTGTGGAGTTGGTGAAGAATAAATAGGAAACAGAAACTAGAAATCAATAGCAGGAGGAAGTTGGGAAACTGTACAAATACATGGGCATTAAAAAACATGCCCCTGAATGACAAATGGGTCAATGAAATTAAGAAGGAAATCAAATTATTGAAACAAATGTAAATAGAAATACAACATACCAAAACCTGCAGGATAAAACAGAAGTGGTACTAAGAGGAAATTTTATAGCAAATTTTTATTTTAAAATTCAACAAATATCAAACAATTTAACAAGGTACCTTAAGGAACTGGAAAAGCAAGAACTGCTTTAACCCAAAATTAGTAGAAGGAAAGAAATAATAAAGACCAAATGAAATAGAGACTAAAAAAATACAAAAGATCAACAAAACAAAAAGTTAGTTTTTTGAAACGGTAAGTAAAATAGACAAACGATTAGCTAGACTAAGAAAAAAATGAGAGAGAACTCAAGTAAAATCAGAAAAGAAAAAGAAGGGAAGGGGGTTATATTATTAATACTTTAATTCCAGTTTGGCTTCTCCAGCCTTTGAGCTCACTTCCAAATTGTGCTATTGGTGTCTGCTCTCAATTGATATATTTTAATAGCATATCTAGTTGGGAAGAGAAAGTAGTATATGAATAAACTAATAAGTGAGTTTCCATATTTCAGAGCTAAATAAACATCTCTTTTGGGAGATCACCATACAAGTTGGCAGCAAATGGGGAAAGAAGGAAAGTATTAGAGATCAAGGGGAGAGGATATTTCCACTCAAGGCTTTTATAGAGAAGGCAGAGCATTTCTCTCTGATTTGTAAAGCTGGTCAACTACCCAAATTTGTAAGGATAGATAATGCCAGTGTCCTCAGAGGCACAGGAGATACACACAGGAACCTAGCTAAAGCAGTTTCTGCATTCATAGCAGAGTCCCAGCTAGCCAGGATTGTTCTTGATGTTACACACAGTCCAGGTAGCTAGATCTATCTGGAGGTGACTTTGGAGCTGGATAATATGCAAATCTGTGTCATGTTTGTATTCCTCCAGGTGTCCTTTGAGATGACCCATGAGACCCTGTACTTGGCAGTGAAACTGGTGGATCTCTATCTAATGAAGGCAGTATGCAGGAAGGATAAGTTACAACTCCTTGGTGCTACTGCCTTTATGATTGCAGCAAAATTTGAGGTGAGCCTGAGTCCCTATGGCCTGGAGAACTAATCAGGTTTCTGTCTAACCCAGCGAATGAATATATATTCATATATATTCATTGTTATGTACTGCATAACAATGCTTTGGTCAACGATGGACTGCTTATACTATGGCGGTCCCATAAGAGTATAATGGAGCTGAAAAAGTATAGGGACTTCTTAGCTTTTGTAGCATTGTAATGTAATGCATTACTCCTAATGGTGATGCTGGTGTAAACAAACGTACTGCACTGCAAGTCATATAAAAGTATAGCACATACATTTATGTATAGTAGTACATAATGCTTGATAATGATATAAACTGTTACTAGTTTATGTGTTCACTATACTTTTGTTATTATTTTTTAATTAGAGACAAGGTCTTGCTCTCTTGCCCAGGCTGGAGTGCAATGACGTGATCATAGCTCACTGTAACCACAAACTCCTGGGCTCAAGCAATCTTCCCACCATAGCCTCTCAAGTAGCTAGGACTATAGGCCTGCACCACAGTGCCTCACTAATTTCCAAAAAATTTTTTGTAGGGTTGGGGTTCTCATTATGTTGTCCAGGCTGGTCTCAAACTCCTGGCCTCAAGCCATCCTCCTGCCTTGGCCTCCCAAATCACTGGGATTACGAGTGTGAGCCACTGTGCCTGACCTGGTTTAGAGTATACTACTACTTACTTAAAAAAAAAAAAAAAAAAAAAAAGTTAACTGTAAAATACCCTCAGGCATGTCCTTCAGGAGGTTTTCCAGAAGAAGGCATTGTTGTAGGAGATGACAGCTCTAGCTCTATGCATATTATGACCCCTGAAGAATTTCCAATAGGACAAGATGTGGAGGTGGAAGGCAGTGATATTAATGATCTGACCCTTTCTAGGCCTAGACTAATGTGTGTGTTTGTGTCTTCATTTTTAATTTAAAAAACTTTAAAAAGTAGAAAGCAAAGCCAGGCATGATGTTTCAATACCTGTAATCTTAGCTAAGGCAAGAAGACTGCTTGAGCCCAAGAATTCAAGACCAGCCTGGGCAGCAAGGTGAGACCCCATCTCTACAAAAAATAAAAAAAGATTAGCTGGGTATAGTGGCACGTACCTGTGGTCCCAGCTACGTGGGAGGCTGAGGCAGGAGGATCCCTTGAGCCCAGGAGGTTGAGGCTGTAGTGAGCTTTGTTCAAGCCACTAAATTCCAGTCTGGGTGACAGAATGAGACCCTGTCTCAAAAAGATTTTTTTTTTTTTTTAAAGAAGGAAGTTTATATAATAAGGATATGAAAAAAGCAAATATTTTTATACAGATTTATACTGTGTGCGTGCTTTAAGCTGTTATTAAAAAATAGTCAAAGTTTTATGAAATAAAAAAGTTACAGTAGGCTAAGTTTAATTTATTGTTGAAGAAAAAATATTTTTTATAAAATGAGTGTAGCCTAATTGTACAGGTACAGTATTTATAAAGTCCATGGTAGTGTACAGGAATGTCCTAGGCCTTCCCATTCACTCATCACTCACTGACTCACCCAGAGCAACTTCTGCTCCTACAAGCTCCATTCATGGTAAGTGCCTAACACAGGTAGCATTTTAAAATCTTTTATGCTGTATTTTTACTGTACCTTTTCTGTTTAGATAGGCCTAGATGCACAAATATCATTGTGTTACAATTGCCTACAGTATTCAGTAGAGTCACATGTGTACAGGTGTGTAGCCCATAAGCAATAGGCTATACCATATACCCTGGGTGTGTAGGCTGTACCATCTAGGCTTTTGGAGGTACACTCTCACCTGTGATCTTCCCACAATAATGAAAATGATGCATTTCTCATAAGATATTTTTCTTGTTAAGTGACGTATAACTGTGTATACATATATTGATATGGACATATACAAACGTGTATACACTTGTGTATATGTGCACCAATATGTGTGTATACAGTTACATACATACAAATAATTTTTTTCTGCTACATTTTTTGTCCGTCTTTCCAAAATAGAGAAGCTGGTGTTGGTTGGCAATGGTGGTGTATTTGTTTCCTGGCATCAGCAAGGTTCTTCCATTTTTTTATCTGAAGATGTGTTATGTGGGCATCCACCTAATTAAATGGGTAGTTCTTTTTACAGCTTCCTTCTGGTCCATGATTGTCTATCTCCACCATTTTCTTGTCCCACCAACTCCATCCCCATCTGGTGGAGTCTCAATCTGCTTATATAACAAAGTATTACATAACCAGGGTGCTGGAGACATTTAAGAGAAAATGGACTGGTGTTGATGGCAATGAGTCTAAATCGTCTAGGTGAAATAGTAATTTGGGAAGTAGCAGTATAAAAGTGAGTAGCTGGCCTTTTCTTCATGACCATAATCCATCTAACTAACCTCTCTGATTCCCCTTCCCTAGGTGCTAACTGATCTTATTCAACTTCATTTTCCCTTTAGCTAGGCTAGTTGTAGGAACCCTTAGGGTTTGCGAACAGAGAGGTGACAACTTTTACCAAGGATTTGAAAGAAATTTAGAACTGTAGATTTGTTTCTGTGTTGGCTCACTCCCCAGCTCCTACCTCCCTCTCCTCCCCAAGCACTTACTGGGTCTTCCCCCTACCTCTCTTCCTGCCTCACTCTCTCCCTCTTTAACGTGCTCCCTTCCTCCTCTCCTTCTTTCCTTGTCACCTGCCCTCCAGTGGTTGATTTTCCTCACTCACCACCCCACCCTCCTTTGTTGCCCCTCACTCACCTGCTCACTTAAGCCCTCCCTGCCTCTCTTCCTCCCTGCATTTGTCCCTTCCTCCTGTGCCAGCTTGCTTGCTCCTTCTTCTCTTCCTCTTCCTTTTCCTCCCTTGCTTACTCCTTCCTTTGTTTCTTCCCTCCCTCGCACACCTGCTGGCTCCCTCTTTCCTTCCCTCCTAGCTTTCTTCCCAGGCTCCCTTTCTCGCTTGGTGGATAGATTTCTCTCTCTCTGGTTAGTCTACACACTCCGTCCCTCACTGGCTCACCCTCCCCTTTCCTCTCTTTCCCTTGCTCCCTCACCTGCTTTCTCCCCTGCCAGAGTCCCTCTTTTTCTTCCTTGCCTACTCTGTCCTTTCCTCTTTAACTTGCCTGTTTCTTTCCTCCCTCCTTCCCTTGCCTCCCTCCCTCCCTCTCTCCTTCCCTCACTTGCTTCCCCTCCCTCCCTAGCTCCCTCTTTTCCCTCCCTTCCTCCAAATTTCATAGGAGTCCCCTTCTCCTCCCCTTCTATTTCTTTCCCCCTTCCTCCTTCCCTCCTTTGCTCTCCCTGTGTGGCTTGCTCACTCCTTGCATCTTTCCCTGCCTTTTCCCTTCCCCGGCTGGCTGTCTCCCTAGCTGACTCCCTTTCTCCCTTGCTAGCTCTATCTCTTTCTCCCTATCCCACAGGACCCCTCCCTCCCTCCCTCCTTCTATACTCCCTCCCTCTTTACTCCTTTCCTCCCTCTCTCCTTCCTCCTACACTCCTTCAGTCTCTCCTTTCGCCAACCCTCCCTCTCTCTCTTCCTCCCTCCTTGCTCCTACCCTCCACCAGTCTCTCTTTCCTTGCACCCTCCCTCCCTCCCTCCTTCCTGCTGCCCTCCCTCCACCATCCTGCCCTCTCCCTCCTCCTACTCTCCCTCCCTCCTTCATCCCTCCTCCCTCCATCTGCCTCCTGGGTTCAAGCAATTCTCCTGCCTCAGCCTCCCGAGTAGCTGGGACTACAGGCATGCGCCACCATGCTCAGCTAATTTTTGTATTTTTAGTAGAGACGGGGTTTTACCTTGTTGACCAGGGTGGTCTCGATCTCTTGACCTCATGATCCACTCGCCTTGGCCTCCCAAAGTGCTGGGATTATAGGCTTGAGCCACCGCGCCCAACCTCTCCCTCTTTTTTTCCTATCGCTCCTTCATTCCCTCCCTCCTTCCTTCCGTCCTTCCTCCTGTCCTCCTCCCTCCTATCCTCCCTTCTTCCCTCTTTCTTCCTTTCCTCCCTCCCTTCATCTCCCTCCCTCAGGCTCTCCTTTATCCTGCCCTCTCTCCCTTCTTCTTCATACCCTCCCTCCCTTTGTCCTTCCTCCTACCTTTACTTCCACTCTCCTTCCTCCTACCCTCCCTTCCTTACCCCCTTTCTCCTTCCTTCTGTTCCTCCCCCTTCCTCCTTTTTGCCCTCAGTACCTGCTTCTTCCCAACCTCCCTTCCTTTCTTTATTTCTTCCTTCCTTTCTTCTTCCCCTTCCCTCCCTCCTTCCTCCTTCCTTCTCTCCCTTTCTCTTTCCCCCTTCCTTCCTTCTCTTCTTTTTTTCTTCCTCTCTCCATCCTTCCTTCTACCCTTTCTCCCTACCTTCTTTTTTGTTTTCTCCCTCCTTCTCTTTTTTCTTTCTCCCTCCTTCTCCCCTTCCTCCTTCCCTCCCTCTCCCCCTCGTTTCCTCCCTCTTTCCTTCTGTTCTTCCTTCCTCCTACCCTCCCTTCTTCTCTCATTTTTCCTTTTCTCCCTCCTTCCTGCTTTTCTCCCTTTCTTTCTCCTTTCCCCTCCTTTCCTTCTTTCTTCTACCCTCCCTCCCTCCCTTCTTCCGTGTACCCTCCCTTTCACCCTCCATTCTCCTATTCTTCCTTTTATCCTCCTTCCTTCTTGTGTCCCTCCCTCCTTCCTCCTTCCTTCCTCTCTCCCTCCTTCCTTTCTCCTTCCTCCTTGCCTCCCTCCTTCTCTCCTTCCTGTTTCTCTCTGTCTGATTCCTTTTACCCTCCATCTCTCCCTCTTCCCTCCCTGTCTTCCTTCTTCCTCCTACCCTTTCTTTCTCTCTTCTTCTTCCATCTCTCCTTTTCTTTCTCCTTCCCTCCCTCCTTCCTCCTTGCTTCCCTCCCTTCTTCCTCCTAACCTCCCTTTCTCCTTCCTTCCTCCTACCTTCCCTCTGCACCATCCTTCCCCCTCAGCACCCTACTTCCCCCCCTCCTTTTTCCTCCTTCCTTCTCTCCCTTCTTCCTTTCTCCTTTTCTTCTTTCCCTCCCTACCTTTTATCTCCTTCCCTTTCTCCCTCCCTTTTTGCTCCCACCCTTCCTCCCTCTCACCTTCCCCCCTATTTTCTTCCACTGTCCTTCCTCCTACCCTCCTTTCCTCTTTCCTTCCTGTCTTCCTCTTTCCCTCCTTCCCTCCTTCATTCCCTTCCTCCTTCCTTCCCTCACTTTCTCCTTCCTTCCTTATCTCTTTCTCTCCTTCCTCCTACCCTTTTTTCTCCCTCCTTCTTCCTGCCCTCTCTCCCAGCCTCCTCCTGTCTACCCTTCTTTCCTCCTTCCCTTCTTTCTCCTCCCTTCCTTCCTTTTACCTTCCTTTAGTCCCTACTTCCTCCTATCCTCTCTTTCTCCTTTTTTTCTGTCTCCCTCTTCTTCTCCTCCCTCCCTCCCTCCTCTCTTCCTCTCATTCTCCCTCTTCGTCCTACCCTCTCTTTTTCTTCCTACCCTCTTTCCTTCTGCCCCCTTCCCTCCCTCGCTTCTTTCTCCTCCTTTTTCTCCCTTCCTCCTTCCTATCCTCCCTCCTTTTTTCCTCCTTCTCTTTCTTTCTCTTCCTTTCTTTCTCCTTCCCTCCCTCCTTCCTCCTAACTTCTTTCTTCCCTTTTTTCTCCTTCCCTTTCTTTTTCCTCATTCCTCCTACCTTCTGTTTCTTCATCTTCCTCCTATCCTCCCTCCCACCCTCTTTCCTTCTACTCTCTCTCCCTCCCTCCCTCTTTCCTTCCTTCTCTTCCACCTTCTTCCTTGTCTCCTTCCATCCTTTCTTCCTTCTACCTTCCCTCAGTCCCTGTTTTCTACTTCCCTCCCTCCATTCCTCTTTCCTTCTATCCTCCCTCCTTCCTCCTTTTCTCTCCCTTTCCTTCTACCCTCCCTTTCTCTTTTCTCCTTTCCTCCCTCCCTCTTTTTCCTTCTACCCTTCCTCCTTTCTTCCTCCTTCGTTCCATCCCTGCTTTCTTCTTGCCTCCTTTCCTTTCTCCTTCCTCCTGACCTCCTTTCTCCTTCCTTTTTCCCTCCTTCCCTCCCTCCTTTATTCTCTCCTTCCACCCTCCCTCCTTCCCTTCCTTTCTTTTCTTTCTTCCCTTCCTTTCTCCCTCCTTCTCCCCTCCCTTCTTTTTGCCTCCTTCCCTCCCTCCTTTTTCCTTTTGTTTTCCCTCTCTACTTCCTTCTTCCCTCCCTCCCACTCTCCTGCCTCCTTTCTTCCTTCTTTCCTCATTTATTCAGTCACTGTCTTTTTCTTTTTCTCTTTCTCAGTGGCTTTTCTCACACATTTCTTGCCCCTCCCTCCCCACCCCACGCCCACCTACCCTCCTCTCTCCTTCCCTCCCTTGTTCTCCCTTTGTCTCCTGCCTTCTCCCTTGCTGGCTCTCTCTGTGGCTTGGAGAGCTATGCTGTGCCTTAGCCTCAGTGGTGTTAAGAACCCTGTGGGTGATCCCTGGCCAACAGAAAGGGGAAGGGAGGGTGGAAGTGGAAGAGAGGGAGGGGTGGGCACTTAGCAAATTCTGGGACTTGGAGCACCCCTCCTCTGTTGGCCAGGACAGAGGGCCCCTACCAAGTCCTATGGAGGAGGGTTGTCTTCCTTTCACACGATTAAGTAGTACAGAAAGTCTTTTGTTTAGGGGAGGTGTGGAGATGGCATAAGGAGAGACAGGAGACAGTAGCCATTGCCCAGAGCAGTGGAAGAGAGAGGTTCCTGCCCTGGTGTTGCCACCAGCTTACTGTGTGAACCTGAGCACATCACTTTTTTCTGAGCCTTGGTTTCCTTGACTGCCAAACCAGAGGGTTGGTCCTGTCTGTGTTCTGAAAATTGAGAGGGGAAAGGTGAGGGAAGAAGGCTGCAGTGGACTGTAAGCTGCACGTAGGAAGAAGAGTTAGGGGCCTTCCTGTGTCCTCATTGTCTCTCTAAACCAATGTTTGACCTCCAGAGGGCAGAGCACTGGAAGGTGCTCCCCAGACAGAGGTTCTTCTCACCCTCAGCCTGGCCTGGCCCTTCCTTGTCTGACCTCTGGGTGACTCCCCACCCTCTGCCCACTGCAGACCTTTATATCTGCTTAGGCTCCCTCTGCGCCTGTCTGCCTCCCCCACTCTCTCACTATTGCCCTCCGCAAACATTCTTACTCATTCTTTAGACTAGGACACAAAACACAGGCTTATTTTCTATCTCTAGCTCCCCTTTCTGTGGCTTCCTTCTATCCCTCCCTCCAGAGTAGGCGTCAGATTTCCCATTCATGATTCTCAGAGGGCAGATTGCTGCTCCTAGGCCCCGTGTCCCATTATGTTGCCTCTGGCACTGTAAGAATCCACACCTAGGAGGCCCTATCCTCTGTTTGGTGGTGGTGGTACAGTTTTGGGGCAGGCCTTTCCTGTCATTTCTTTGGTTTAGTTTTTCTGATGAGCCACTCACATCAACCAGAAGCTGGCTCTCAGAGCTACCCTGAAGATTTATGCCAGGAAATGTGATTGCTTCCCATCCTTCACCCTTCTCCCCTGTGACTTTTACCTCTAAGCAGAAAGGACAGGGCTGTCTGTCTGGTTGTCACCTCCTCTCCTCTCTACACATAGGAGCCCAACGCACCTTGTCTGGATGACTTCGTGTACATCTGTGATGATAATTATCAGCGAGATGAGATGCTTAAGATGGAAATCCATATCCTGCATGTCCTCAAATTTGACATCAACATTCCCGTTGCCTATCATTTTCTGCGTAGATATGCTAAGGTAAGAGAGAAGAGACACATCTTCATTCTCCTACTGCTGAGTTAGTCTCCTCTATACCAAGTGGCTGCCTGAGTAGTGTGAAGGGGAAAGGGACAACAGGGGGCAGGGAGTTTTCTCCTTCCATCCAACCTCCTAGGTTAAAGGTTGGCAATCTTTATGAAACAGTGGGAGGCGGGCAGGCATGAGTTACAGATTGCTGCAGTGTGCCTATAAGGTTTTGAGGTGAGGACAGAGTTGGGGAGGGGAAACGTTTCTTTGATCAGGGAGGGACACATGGAAAGCTTTGAGGGTATGCTGGCAATATTCTTATTCTTTGCCTGAGTACTGGTTACAAGGGAGGTCCCTTTATAATTCATTGTATTGTGCAAATGTGTGTGATGTACTTTTCTCTTTGTGTGTGTGATAGTTTATACTTTAAAAAGAATAAGTTTAAACAAGAAAAGAGAAAAGGTTGTTTTGAACTATGGAACACTTCATAGGGAGGACCAGGTACAGAGTCATGTTGGGAGGACTTTGGCTTTTTAAAGGATGACCTGTATAGCAAGGGGGGATGTGGGCCAGTACCATACACACAGTTGATAATTTGATTAAAATCCTAAAGGTGGCAAATCCCACTGACCATTTCAGAATCCCCGCTAAGGAGTCTGCTTTTGTGGGTAGGGAAGATGAGGTGAGTTATGGTTGCAGGAGAGAGGCACATTACTCAAACAGAGGGCCACTGAGGCTTGGGATGAGATACTGGAGAGGTAGTCCTCTGCTTGGTGCCGGTTTTCTGAATTGATTTCTGAGTCAGTCTTCTCATTTCCTTTAGTGTATCCACACCAGTATGAAGACACTGACCTTGTCCCGCTACATCTGTGAGATGAGTCTGCAGGAATACGACTATGTCCAGGAGAAAGCTTCCAAGCTAGCTACTGCCGCCTTACTCCTGGCCCTCTACATGAGGAATCTCGGACACTGGGTAAACACTTGTGAGATAGGAGTATGGGGGTAGGGATTTAAAAAGCACAAGGTCAGCTCAGGGGGAAGGTGTAAATTAGGGCCACGGGAAACTCTTGGAGACAAACCTGCCATGTACTCACAATTATGAACTCTAACACCTGGACAACTTGGGGCAAAGGTTTCTACAGCAATAGTTTTGAATTATGTCATTTTTCATTATCAAAGTTCCCTTTGTTCCAAAGAAAGCTCATCTGAAAGCCCTATATTACATACCAGACTACTGTGAAGGTACTCTGGTTGTCACAGAGGATAGTGTGACCCTACTTCTTATCCCCGGCCCTGTTCCCCTCTTGCCTCTTGCAATTCCCTCAACAAGGCTGACTCCTGAGGGAGCTTGTCGGAATAGGGTTTGAAAAACGTTGAGCCAGAGAAGAGTAGTGAAAGCAACTGGCTGTGAGTATAAAAGTGGCATTCAGGGGCATGACTATAGTGTTCTCCTCTGAAGAAGCCCTCAAAGCCTCCAGCTCTAATACAGATAAAACTCATATTTGATGCTTTCTCGATTTTATGAAAAGTTGAGGGTTAAAGCAGCTTTAGAGAATTTTGCATTCTTACTGATGATATGTATAATATGCAATCCAAGCAGTAGAAGTATGCTTGCAAATGCAGCCCCCCTGCCCAACCACTCCTGAGCTCCTCCTACCTAAAAATCCTGGAGCCACTGAGGGAAGAAGCTGTGTGTGTTGAGAAAGAACCACATAAAGTAGTTACATGAACTTGGACAAGCCATATTGAAATTTCCTGAAACAGAGAAAGCATTCAATAGATGACAGTGATGATGAAAAAGAATAAATAATACTCATAGCTGGCATTTAATGAGTGCTTAGACAGTGATCTAAGCACTTTGTGTATTAACTCATTTAATCTCCATAACAACCCCACACGATAGTACTGTTATCCCTGTTTTGCAGATAAGAAATAACTCCCATGTTTATACAGCTGATGAGAGGTGGAGCTAGGCTTTGGAAACTAGGAGTGGTGTTCACAATCTAAACCAATTGCATAATCAGGATGGGAATGGCCACAGCTCTGGAGTTAAGGACCTGGAGGCCCCAGGCTACATCAGGCTTTGACCCTTGGATCCCAGGGAAATCCAGTGGACCCTTAGGGCAACAGCTGATGGGTTCAGGGCAGCAAACTGTGGGCCAACTAAGATAGAAATATTTCAGGGTTTTCACACTTGGTGACTAAACCAGTGCATATCAGCTAAATATCAGCCTGAATCTGAAATCCAGTAGTCTGGCTCCACAATCCTCTATGTTAACGTACTGCCTCTCCTGTAGATAAAGGAGGCTTCACAGAAGAGGTGACTTTTGGGCTGGGTCTTAAAGGGTGTGTAAGAACTTGTGAGAAGAGACATTCTAGGCAGAGGGAGCAATAATTATAAAGACATGAAGGCATTAGAAGGGAGCGTGACCTGACTTCAAACTATACTACAAGGTTACAGTTAATCAAAACAGCATGGTACTCACACCAAAACAGATATATAGTCTAATGGAACAGAACAGAGGCCTCAAAAATAACGCCATACACCTACAACCATCTGATCTTTGACAAACCTGACAAAAGCAATGGGGAAAGGATTCCCTATTTAATAAATGGTGTTGGAAAAACTGGCTAGCCATATGCAGGAAGATGAAACTGGAACCCTTCCTTATTATACCTTATACAAAAATTAACTCAAGATGTAACATTTAAATGTAAGACCTAAAACCATAAAAACCCTAGAAGAAAACCTAGGCAATACCATTTAGGACATAGGCATGGGCAAAGACTTCATGACTAAAACACCAAAAGCAATGACAACAAAAGCCAAAATTGACAAATGGGATCTAATTAAACTAAAGAGCTTCTGCACAACAAAGGAAACTATCATCGGAGTGAGCAGGCAGCCTACAGAATGGGAGAAAATTTTTGCAGTCTACCCATCTGACAAAGGGCTAATACCCAGAATCTACAAAGAACTTAAATAAATTTACAAGAAAAAAACCCCATCAAAAAGTGGGCAAAGGATATCAACAGACACTTCTCGGAAGAAGACATTTATGTGGCCGAAAAACATATGAAAAAAAGCTCATCATCACTGGTCATTAGAGAAATGTAAATCAAAACCACAGTGAGATACTATCTCATGCCAGTAAGAATGGTCATCATTAAAATGTCAGGAGACAACAGATGCTGGTGAGGATGTGGAGAAATAGGAATGCTCTTACACTGTTGGTGGGAGTGTGAATTAGTTCAACCATTGTGGAAGACGGTGTGGCAATTCCTCAAGGATCTAGAAATAGAAATACCATTTGACCGAGCAATCCCATTACTGGGTATATATCCAAAGGATTATAAATCATTCTGTTATAAAGACACATGCACACGTATGTTTATTGCAGCACTGTTCACAATAGCAAAGACTTGGAACCAACCCAAATGCCCATCAGTGATAGACTGGATAAAGAAAATGTTGCACATATACATCATGGAATACTATGCAGCCATAAAGGATGAGTTCATGTCCTTTGCCAGGGACATGGATGAATCTGCAAACCATCATTCTCAGAAAACTGACACAAGAACAGAAAACCAAACATCACATGTTCTCACTCATAAGTGGGTGTTGAACAATGAGAACACATGGACACAGGAAGGGGAACATCACACACAGGACCTGTCGGGGTGAGGGGCTAGGGGAGGGATTCCATTAGGAGAAATAGCTAATGTAGATGACGGGGTGATGTATGCAGAAAACCACCATGGCATGTGTATAACTATATAACAAACCTGTGTGCTTTGCACCTGTATCCCAGAACTTAAAGTATATATTAACAAAAAAAAAGAAAAAAAAAAAAACAGCGGGGTAAGATGTTAACAATGGGTAAACTTGCGTGAAAGAAAAATGGGTGTTATTTGTATATGTTTACTTTTATAACATTTTTACTTTAATATTAATATTTAAGAAAAGACGGAAGTGGCCAGGCGCAGTGGCTCACACCTGTAATCCCAGCACTTTGGGAGGCTGAGGTGGGTGGATCACTTGAGGTCAGGAGTTCAAAACCAGACTGTTCAACATGGCGAAACCCCGTCTCTACTAAAAATACAAAATTAGCTGGGCATGGTGGTACATGCCTGTAATCCCAGCTACTCGGGAGGCTGAGGCAGGAGAATCGCTTGAACCCGGGAGGTGGAGGTTGTACTGAGCCAAGATCGTGCCACTGCACCCCACCCTGGGCAACAAAAACAAAAACCCATCCCAATTAAAAAAAAAAAAAAAAAAAAAAAAAAGGAGCATGTTGTATTTGGGGCACAATAAGGCATCCCCTATGGATAGAGCAGAGAGTATGGTAAATGGAGAGGTGCTAATGATGTTAATAGTGACAGATGAGACCAGAATGGTAGATTGTGGTCAGATTGTGAATGAAAGGCCTTGTATGCCATGCTGAGAGACCACTTTACACTAAGGCATTGAAGGTTTTTTAGGCAAGGAAGTGACTTGCTCCTGTTTGTGTGTTTTAGAAACAGTACTGGTATAGCAATATAGAAGAAGGTAGAGTAGATGAGAGAGAGTATGAAGGTGGGAACACCAGTGAGTGGGCTATTATAATATAGTCAAGGTGAAACACTGAGGGTCTGAACTGACACAGTGGCACTGGGGCCTTTTAATCTTATTTAACACACCCAGTCTACTCCATTACCCCTTGTGTTACTCCCCTACTTAGCATGCCAATGACTGCCCTTTACCTGTGGTGGTCGTTTTCAAACAGTATTTGGGGGAGCCCTGGTTTTCCTGCAGAAGTATCCCAGGGACCATGTAAAAGATAAAGGGGTCCAAATTTGTGGGCTTCTTAGCTCCTACCCCCACTTCCAGGTAAGATATTTGGGCTTCTAGGTAAGACACTTGAGAAAAAGGAGTTCAAGGAAAATAATGTGAGACATTTTTTGAGGAAACCACTGACTTATAAATCCTTTCTTTCTCTATCTTTTGAGCTCCCCCTTCACCACCCATTGTGGACATGCTCTCCTCTGTGAAGCTTTCTGTGACTTTCCTGACAGAGTTCATGGGTCCTGTGCTCTGTTCCTCCAGTATCCTATGCTCACTTCCATTATAGCACTTATGACACATTTTGTAACTCTCTCTTTGCATGTCTGTCTCCTCTACTGGACTAGAGACTCCTCAAGGGCAGGTGCCTCATTCATTTTTACGTTCCCAGGATCCTACATATAGGTCTTGGTAATCCTAGCTAGCATTGTTTGGGTACTTACTATGTTCCAGACTCTGTTCTAGCACTTACTATGTGCCAGACTTTGTTCTATGTGTGATACACACACACACACAAACACACACACACACACACACTCACTTAATCCTATGATGAAATTACTGTAATAATCCCTGTTTGGCAGATTGGGAAACTGAGGCCCCAAGAGGTTAATTAACTGGCTCAAGGCCAAGCTGTTAGGTGAACTGAAATTTGACCTGAAGCATTTTGCCTCCAGGACCTCTGCTCTTAAACACTGCTATACCACTTCTGCCACATGATAAGGATTCTTAGTTGAGTGAGAAAATGAACCTGTTGAATTAGAGCCAGAGAGGAGGATCCACCTTAAGTTCATGTTGGCTGTTGAGTTGGGACCTAAACTTTGTTTTGGGGTTTACCTGGCTGTTAGCTCTGGACCTGAGAGTGAGTAAATTACAAAATCAGTCCTGTTCCTTAGGACTGGTAGATTTCTATTTACATGAACATCTGTGACCAGGGCTAATATATATATTTTTAAGAGATAGGGTCTTGTTCTGTCATTCAGGCTGGAGTTCAGTGGTGCAATCATAGCTCACTGTAGCTTCCAACTCCTGGGCTCAAGCAATCCTCCTGCCTCAGCCTCCCAAGTAGCTGAGACCATAGGTGCATACCATCATGCCCAGCTAATTTTTAATTTTTTTTTATAGAGATAGGGTTTTGCCATGTTGTCCAGGTTGGTCTTGAATTCCTGGGTTCAAGCAGTCCTCCTGCCTCGGGCTCCTAATGTGCTGAGATTACAGGCATGATCCCTACCATGCCTGGCCAAGAGCTAATATCTAACTGGTACATATGGATATAGCCATCCCAGTAGTTTGTAGCTGGAACCTATTCTTCTAGATAACATAGTATAATTATTGATCAGTGCCCATACTGTGTGAATCTTTGAAATGTTTTGAATGTCATCTCTGCTTAAACCATATATGAGAAGCTTGGATTTGAGATAGCAGAGATGGAGGAAGGGTGTGCTTCCTATATTAGAAATCACTATTCGTGCTGCTTCTTCCAGGTTCCCATCCTGGAGTATTACAGTGACTACAAGGTCTCTGAGCTTTACTCTCTGGTCAGACGGCTGAACAAACTGCTGACTTTCACTTCTTACTATAATCTCAAGGCTGTGTATACCAAGTATTCTAACCCGTAAGTACCAAGCCTCAGCTGAGGTTGAGTTTGTGTTCATTCACGGGGAAGCTTTAAAATACTAGGCCTAGACTAGCCTCACTTAAGAGAAGAAGATTCAGGCATTTTTTACCTTCTTTTCTACTCTAGGGTTAAAGCAAGATAGGGAACCAAGGGTCCTGTGTCCCATCTGTTCCATGGAGCCTGATTGTCTTTGCCCTATTCTATACTGAGCAGACCCTTTTTCCTTTTGCAGGGTCTTCTTTGAAGTCACCAAAATCCCCACCTTGGATATGTTGAAGCTGGAGGAGATTCTGAAGTACGATTGTATGGCTGAGGGCCCGGTACTCTAGCCGCAGCCTCAGGGCCAGGCATGCATGTTAATAGGATATCTTTATTCTATGTTTGAATTGGTCTTCTGATCGCCTTTATTCATTTTTCCTCTCTGTTTGTCTTTTCCCTAACTGATAATGCTATAAATATTTATGTTGTTTGTTTTTATGAAAGAAAAAATATTGTCATATTTGACTAGAAATTTAATAAAAAATTAATGGTTGTTGTTAAAATGGCTCACATCCCCTCTTATTGTTCAGGAGCCCCATGCACAGCTCGAGAATTTTTTTTTCTTCCTAGTCAACGCTGAGCCCCAGTGCCTAGATTACCCAATTTCCTCTTCTGTTTAGAAGCCTTCTCCTCATGGTAAGAGGAATTGAGCTAACTGAACTGATGGATGGATCTGTAGAAGGAGGATTCTGTGGGGGTGGTGCCCAGTCCAAGGAGAAAGCTCCTTACCTGACAGGCAGTCCTCACTGTTCAGAGCTGGGCAGCTGGCAGTGTAGGATAATACCCTTTGGTCTCAATCACAGGTATTTTGCTTTCTTTGCTTCTTCCTAGATGGTGAAAAGTTGGGGATCGGGATTTTAATCTAAATGTAGCCTTGCTTTCAGTTACGCAGCTTTTTAGAGTCTTAATTTGAAAATACCCTTGGAATGGTATGTGCCAAAACCATTTTTGGCCTTGTCTTTTGCCAAGAGAAGAAATTCCTCCCTGTGAAATCAGCAAGGTGTCCCATGAATGCAAGCATCAACTACTTGCACAATCTTGAATTCATATAGCATTAAGAGGTTCTGAGTTTATTCTCACTCTGCCCTACCTTTGGGGTGATGTGTACTGGGACAGTTACTTAAGTTGTTAATCGAGAAGTGGAACATCTGCTATGCCAGTTGTTCAAGAGCCACTACCTCAGTCTCTCAGTCTCACCCCAGGACCTCCACACAGTCCAGCAAGTAATGTCTACCACAGCAGGAGACCTCTAGGACTCTATTCTAGTATTGTAGCTGGCAATTATCCTGATTGGTCTGTGGCCATTTGTTACCACTTGTCAAATATTTTGAATATCAGTCCTGGAGGGTGGACATTTGGTGGAGAGGACAATCAAGGAAGCAGTTATGGGGAAAATGCCTCTTCAATTCTGTCCCAAGACTCCCCTTGCTATTTTAATTACATCACCTTTTCTGATGTTAGAGACAGATGGATGAGCATGCCAAGCCGTTAGATGTCTCAGTGCTTTCCTTCTCTTTGAATCAGTTTCCCATTCTTCCTCCTGACTTTCTTTGCCTTGGAGGCCAGGCACCACTAGGTTTCCTCCTGCCCTATTCCACTGTATTACAAGATGACTAAGGACTACAGCCAGAGAGGTCCAAACTGCTCGGCATTGGTTCTGCTGGCACAGCCAACTTTGCATAAACATGGTAAAAGCACTAGGCTGGAAGCTATCTTGCAAATCTCCAGCCTTATTAAAAGGATGTGTCTTGTATCTGCTTTTGAATTCTGGGGCTTTACATCAAGGGGAAAAAATTAACCAGTTGAATTATTTCCCCCTTTTTACCAACCCTGTTCTTGTTGTTTTTGCAAATGCCTCAACATTTATTTTACACACACGCATCACCACTTCAAAATTAAGATAGTTATTAGAACCGGATCCTGTTAAAGGTGGGTGCAAAAATTATTGCAGTTTTTACCATTCTTTTAATGGCAAAAACCACGATTACTTTTGCACCAATCTAATATTTAGTGACTTGTTAAAGAAGTACATCTGTTACTTTATCAGGAATTTGCTGGCCCAATGAGGTGGCTCATGCCTGTCATCCCAACACTTAGGGAGGTCAAGGCAGGAAGATCACTCAAACCCAAGAGTTCGAGACCAACCTGGGCAACACAATGAGATCCTGTCTCTATAGAAAGTTAAAAAAATTAGCCAGGCAGAGTGGCACATGCCTGTGGTCCCAGCTACTCAGGAGGCTGAGGCAGGATGATCTCTTGAGCCCAGGAGGTAGAGGTTGTAGTAAGCCATGATCATGCCACTGCACTCCAGCCTGGGCAATAAAGCAAGACACTGCTTCAAGAAAAAAAAAAAAAGAATTTGCTTTTATGTTTTGATGACTCTCTCTATATAAATCTAGCTTTCTTTGTAAACATATATTTTTAACAGTTTTCTTAACTGAATGGAAATTATTATATTTATATATGTATATAACTTTATATCTCCCTATATCTTTAAGATCATAACAGTTTGAAAAACAAAACTAAAAAATTCTAAAAGTTTAAATAAACTACAAAATCATCTATATAGGTCATAAAAACACTCTGGTAGACAAATGTGCCCAGTAATTCATAAGTAAAACAAATGTAGAAAGCCTGTGAAATAATGTGATATGCTTCGAAAAATGACGGACACATAGCATAAATATCTAATAAATGGTGGTGGTACTCTATAGCAGTGGAAGGGGCACAGAGTGGCTACAGAGGTGAGGAGGGGTGAGACTGCTAAAAAAAAGACTTGTATGTTGAAGGTTTTTATACTAAGAGTTTTGATTTGGGGGATGTACCAAGGTTCAATCAGAAAATAGAACTACTCTAGTTATTTCAAACAGAGGAAATGTAATGCAGGGAATTGGTTACTCAAGGACAAAAGAGCTAAGGAGCCACACACACAGTATGAAGCTTCTGTTTTACTTAGGGTTGGAGGGGCAATAGCAAGAGATGGTATCACCAGAGCCCCAGATGTCAGGGATATCAAGCTGAACTTGGAACCAGTGACCAGTTAGGACCAGTGAGGGTAGGACTGATGAAAGGAGGCTGAAGCCAGGAAGGAGACACAGTTACTGCCAGACGTATTGCTAGAGGTAGAGTGAGAAAGGAAATAGCCTGGCTTCTTTATATTTTAATAGTTTTGGGGGAATAGGTGGTTTTTTGTTACATGGATAATTTATTTAGTGGTAATCTGAGATTTTGGTGCACCTGTCACCCAAGCAGTATACATTGTACCCTATTTGTGTAGTTGTTTATCCCTCCCCCTCCCCCACCCTTCCCCCAGGTCCCCAAAGTCCATTATATCATTCTTATGCCTTTGCATCCTAATAGCTTAGCTCCCACTTATAAGTGAGAACATATAATATTTGGTTTTCCATTCCTGAGTTACTTCACTTAGAAAAATGGTCTCCATTTGTTCTCCAATTCCATCCATATTGCTGTAAATGCCATTATTTTGTTCCCTTTTATGGCTGAGTAGTATTCCATGGTGTATATATACCACATTTTCCCATCTACTCATTGGTTGATGGGCATTTTAGATTAGTTTCATATTTTTGTAGTTGTGAATTATGCTGCTATTAATGTGTGTGCAAGTGTCTTTTTCATATAATGACTTCTTTTCCTTTGCGTGTTTACCCAGTAGTGGGATCACTGGATTGAGTGGTAGTTCTACTTTTAGTTCTTTAAGGAATCTCCATACTGTTTTCCATAGTGGTTGTACTAGTTTACAATCCCACCAGCAGTGTAAAAGTGTTCCCTTTGCAACACATCAACATCTACTATTTTTTCACTTTTTGGAGTAAGGTTTTCTCTCACTGTGATTTTAATTTGTATTTCCCTGATAATTAGCAATGTTGAACATTTTTCCATATGTTTGTTAGTAATTTGTATATTTTCTTTTGAGAATTGTCTATTCTTGTCCTTTGTCTACTTTTCGATGGGGTTGTTTTTTTTCTTACTGATTTGTTCGAGTTCCTTGTAGATTCTGGATATTAGTCCTTTGTCAGATACGTAGTTTGTGAATATTTTTTTCCCACTCTATGGTTGTCTGTTTACTCTGCTGATTATTTCTTTTGCTATGCAGTAGCTTTTTAATTTAATTAGGTCCCATTTATTTTTATTTTTGTTGCATTTGCTTTGGGGTTCTTCATCATAAATTATTTTTTCTAAGCAATGTCTAGAAGAGTTTTTCTGATGTTAACTTCTAGAATTTTTATGGTTTCAGGTCTTAGATTTAAGTCTCTGATCCATCATGAGTTGATTTTTGTATAATGTGAGATATGAAGATCCAGTTTTATTCTTCTACATGTGGCTTGCCAATTATACCAGCACCATTTGTTGAATAGGGTGTCCTTTCCCTACTTTATGTTTTTGTTATTTTGTTGAAGATCAGTTGGCTGTGCATATTTGGCTTTATTTCTGGGTTCTCTATTCTGTTCCGTTGGTCTATGTGCCTATTTTTATACCAGTACCATGCTGTCTTGGTAACTATAGCCTTATAGTATGGTTTGAAGTCGAGTAATGTGATGCCTCCAGATTTGTTCTTTTTGCTTAGTCTTGCTTTGGCTATACGGGCTCATTTTTGGTTCCATATGAATTTTAGGATTGTATTTTCTAGTCTTGTGAATAATGGTGGTGGTATTGTGATGGGAATTGTGTTGAATCTGTAGGTTGCTTTTGGCAGTATGGTCATTTTTACAATATTGATTCTACCCATCTGTGAGCGTGGAATGTGTTTCCATTTGTTAGTGTCATGATTTCTTTCAGCAGTGTTTTGTAGTTTTCCTTGTAGAGATCTTTTACCTCCTTGGTTAAGCATATTCCTAAGTATTTTATTTTTATTTTTTTTCAGCTGTTGTATAAGGGATTGAGTTACTGATCTGATTCTCAGCGTGGTCATTGTTGGTTTATAGCAGTGCTGTTGATTTGTGTACATTGATTTTGTATCCAGAAACTTTACTGAATACATGTATCAGATCTAGGAGCTTTTTGGATGAGTCTTCAGGGGTTTCACGTACCATACAATTCACCCACTTAAAGTGTATAATTCAGGCTGGGCATGGTGGCTCATGCCTATGATCCCAACACTTTGGGAGACTGAGGCAGGAGGATTGCTTGGGCCGAGGACTTCAAGACCAGCGTGGGCAACATTGTGAGACCCTGTTTCTATAAAAAATTTAAAAATATTTAAAAATATGTAATTCAAGTTTTCAGTATATTCAGAGTTTTGAGGCTGGGCATGCTGGCTCATGCCTGTAACCCCAGCACATTGGGAGGCTGAGGCAGGCAGATCAGTTGAGATCAGGAGTTTGAGACCAGCCTGGCCAACATGGTGAAACCTCATCTTTACTAAAAATACAAAAATTAGCCAGGCATGGTGGTGCATGCCTGTAATCCCAGCTACTCAGGAGGCTAGGACAGGAGAATCACTTGAACCCAGGAGGTGGAGGCTGCAGTGAGCCAAGATCATGCC